AGCTTTAAGAGTCGTTTAGCAGTGTGGTTATCTTGCATCACAAGTTCCGAGATTTCATCAAATGCCACCTTTCCAGAGTTTCTAAGGCTTCCGAAATCAATGGAGTAATCAACACACAGAGATTTGACAAAGAAAGAAACGGATGGAATGTAATAAAAAACGGTTATAAGTGGTACAGATGCTATGAAGACAAGAGATGAGTGCTTTAGTATTAGCAGCGGCATTTGCTTCATTCATTCTTCACTTTCCTTTTATATTGAGTTTTATCATTATTGTATACTTTTACTCCCCATGTTAAGTTTCTTGTTAACGCTTTTTATGTCCGGTTTTTAATACCGTTGATATGTAGTATCCTAGCTTCGTTAATCAATCACCTTGATAACCGTTACTATATAAATCTCAACGATGTTTGAAATCAGAAGGTAATAAGAAGCGGCGACTACAGTTTATTAGCAAAGAGCACAAATTACAAGGATATAGGCACATCGAGCAGATTTGAAGCAGAGAGGCGAATATGTGTATGCGGACAAACACAGAGGCGGATTTATATGTAGCACGTATCATTGGCGTTTACTTGAAAGTGGAAGAGATGTGAAACAACAACGCAACAGTCAGGATCGGTAAATGCCTCTGGAGCAAGAACGCAACATACTAGCATAACAAATATACTTTGAAAATTAAAAGACGCAGTTCAGTTACAAAAAGGGAAGACTTATTACAAAATAGTCTAATCCATCGTTCTGCAGGCTCAGCTTACGTAGAGTTTGTTGCTTTTCTTAAAGCACATTTACTCTTTGCTGCCTTTCAATAAGAAAAACAGACACGACAGTAACGTTACATTTAATGATTTTTAACACTGTTACATATAGTCAAATCGAATAAGGCGCAGCTAGGCTAGGCAAAGGCCAATAATAGGGTTCGAGTACATATAAACATGAGGAAGATGATGAATCATCGATCAATGTTTAAGCGATTAATACATTAGCTAGAGAGATATGTGCGTAGGCTGTCATGTGATTAAGCGTACACGTTTATACAGATATGATAGGGTTCATAATAGTACAAAGAAATATGCGAATTGCTACTGTTCGAATAAAATTGTCTGTTAAGTTAATAAAGGGCTTAACAAAAATCAACCGCAATCAAAATTGATTGTAGGTGAGTTGCTATTAGCTATTATTGTGCAGATATTAGTGTTGTAACTTGGTTCAGTGCATATTTGTAGACCAGATGTTATTGCAACTATGCATATTAGGTTATTCGTATCCAAACTATTTCTATGGTTGTTAAAATTACTTAAATGATTGGATTGGCATCAAAGATGAATTGCAAACTTCTAACCACTTTCACTTGGTTAACCAAATACAGGTAGTCATTCGAGAATTTTATGTCTTCGTATATACTGCAGTATAATCCTACTTTGGATACTGATCCTTACAACTTTATAAAACAAAAGCTCTGGATACATAAAATCAGATCAATAGTCTGAAGAGATCCCACCGATTTCCTGTTGTTCAAGTTCATACAACATAATTACCGACATTTAGCCGTACGAATCTATTTGGCTGTCCGATTTCATAAGATTGATACAAAATCGTTAACACTACAGTGGGACGTTTAGTTTAACTTGTCTGAATTAAAAAAAATAATATCTGGTGCTCATCAGTTAAGTTTAGTTTCCGCTATTATTTAATCGTAGGTTTTGTGAGTTAAATTTCATTGCTCTGTGACAAATGAATGTCGAATATTTATGTTAACTTAATGCACTCAAAGCAAATATTGTTTTCAATACACGACATTTTCGGTTGTAAAAAATTACTAACGTGTCAACTCTGTGGGTAATTAACAAATTATGTAACTAACCAGTACATGTATTAGAAATTGAATTATAAATGATGTATTTTAATAACCTTCTACGCTTCATTCACAACAAAGTTTCTTTTAATTATTGACTGATATCTTATAGAAGAAAAATTCATAAAGGTACGTGATAACATCAGGGTGTATAACCAAACATGTCTTCATTTTTGCATATCGGCCGTTTTATTCTGTCAAGTTGATTACATAAAACGATAGGAACTTCACTTTTCTCTTACTACTTGGATCTAATATACTAATTAATGTAATTAGTTTTTTCATTTCATGAAACGGTTTTACACTATAATGTAGTGCTTCCAGGTTTTCCATGGTGGTCCAGCTTCAATTGACTTATGATCTCAACTATTGAAATTACTACAATCTCCACAAAACCCCTCCTAGTAGTTTTTTTCTAATCCAATATTGATTTTACTTTTGAGAGTTTGACTTAGTTTCAAGGTTTATTTACACTAACTCTACCACCTTATAAGAAAAAAATAATACTTATTTCACTCTTTTGACTTTTACAATAAATATGGATTTTATGTCATAGGATGTTTGTCATTCGATTATTCCTTATTCATCTTTAAGATATTATGTTTAAAAGAGATTAGGTTATATTATTGTTGATCATGACAGAAGATTCACTTTCTAAAATAAATGCAAAAAAGAAGTATGAAATTTTCAATCAATATGGAAACATAAAACCTTTGTTAATGATTAGGGATTTCCTCAAGTTTTCTAATACAATGCAATTTTATGAGCTAGAGTACTGTTATTGTTGTTTTAAAAGTTTAATTGGTTCTTATCACCCAGGTATTTATATGTTCTCATAAAAGAGTAGTTTAATTATTATTACAGTTTGGTTAGTCAAAAAGCAGTACAAGTGATCGCAGTTAACGTTTAACCAAAAGTCAAACTTATGAACTTAGATTTTTTTGTTTAATCACAGTAAAACTAACTTAAAAGTTACTTCTTAAAGTAATAATATTTCTAGAGTTTTCTACATCCTACTTTCATTCTAGAAACTAGGACATAGTTTTTGAGATAGTAATCACTAATAAACAACTTGTACGATTTCATCTAGTCTTCAGTTAACCTTATGATGTAACCACTAAACTAGAGATTTTTGTACATTGATGAACATAGATAAATATAGAAGTTTAAGTTTACGAATTCCGAAAAATCTCCTTGAGTTGATAAAAAACCGACAGAATTAGTTTTGTTATATATGTTCTCATCTAATTGTATCAGCACATCCGAGTTATAAATAATTGATTATTTGTAAATTAAACCATCTTCTATTGTTGTTTGACATCATACTAAACAACACTAACTAGCTAAATCGAGATTATTTTAATATTGAATACATATGTCGCTTATCTGATTTTCATCAGATTAATAATTCATTTCAAATTATTAAACGTAACAGCATTAGACACTTTTTATATACATCAGTTGATTCTTTGGTTATGTTATTGATGTTGATATGAACATTTTACCATATCAATCATTCACTATGAATTTGATCACTTCTGATCGCGTAATATAAAGCTTTTAAACATTTGACATGACTTTCAAATGCATTAAATTCATTAAACATTGATATGATCTATAAAATAACAATCTATATTATGTCTAATAATAATGATAATAATAATCTACTAGTCAACTAATAAAATTTTCAGAAGGGGTTTGTGGAGATTTTAGGAATTTCACAGATTGAAATCATGAGTCAATTGAAGCTAGACCACCATGGGAAACCTGGAAGCACTGGACGACCGTTTCGTCCTACTACGGGACTTCTCAGCAGTGCGCATTCACGATCCCGCACCCGTGAGATTTGAACCCAGGACCCATCAGTCTCGCACCAGGCGCTTAACCAGCTAGACTACTGAGCCGACATCCAACGGTGTTAATGTCCAACTTCAACCAATCCACGAAGTTGTGCCACCGTATACCATTGTCTTCAGTGAGTTGATATCTCACAACAGACCTGGTTGAACTCCACTGGTAACGGCTTCTCACTAGAACTCCAGGAGTATCTCTTGAAGTCAGTCACTAGTGAGCAGATGATTATTGTCAGAATGGGTTTGTGGAGGTTTTAGAAATTTCACAGATTCATGAGTCTGATAGGTCCTGGGTTCGAATCTCACGGGGTGCGGGATTGTGGATGCGCACTGCTGAGGAGTCCCATACTAGAACGAAACGGTCGTCCAGTGCTTTCAGGTTTTCCATGGTGGTCTAGCTTCAAATGACTCATGATTTCAATCTGTGTAATGAAATTTTATTGATATTTATTTCTATTCCAACTAGAATCATTATTTTCATTCATCAGTCTTATTCTAATTTCAATCACCTTGAAATTCAGTCATTGGAATGGTTATTTAAGAGAGTAGAAATAAATGATCGATTTGTTAAGGATATTCTATTGTTTATTTTCTGATTGGTCAACTCTATTTATTGTTTTTCTTTCATTCCTATAAAGAACTAATGACAATGAAAATATTATTTATTTCTTATTTTGAGTTATAGATTATGGGATATAATATAAAATTGGCATTATTGTTTAGATTTATTTAAATGTATTTGACTTTTATCATTAATATTAAAGTGTTATTTAATTATAATCTGATGTATTTTGTTTCATGTAATGATGATGTCTCTATTTCACATTATATATATATATATATATATATATATATATATATATATATATATATATATATATATATCACTTCTCAACTGTTAAGTATTTTTCTGATTTCAAAGCCATTGGAAGTTGTAATAGTGAAAACGATCAGTTTGATTATGAAAGCTGTATAATAGACAGAAGGGGTTTTGTAGATATTATAGTGATTTTCATAGTTGAGATCATGGTTCAGTTGAAGCTAGACCACTATGGAAAACATGGAAGCACTGGATGACTGTTTTGTCCTACCGTGGGACTCCTCAGCAATGCGCATCCATGATCTCGTCTGGTGTAATGGTTAAGTGCTCGTGCGCGAGACTGGTAGGTTTTGGGTTTTAATCTCAAGAGGCGAAAGTGTGAATGCGCACTGCTGAGGAGTCTCACAGTAGGACGAAACGGCTCTCCAGTGCTTCCAGGTGTTCCATGGTGGTCTAGCTTCAAATGACTTATGATCTCAACTATTAAAAACATAATCATTTGAAAATAATATTTAGTAGATAAATACATCTGATTATCTACATAATAATTACAATAGATTGTCACATTTGAAATGTAGAGTTGTTATTTATTATAAAAAGTTAAAGTAAGCCATGAAAGGATTTATCACTCACTTCTCAATCATAGCTCAATTGGTAAAATATCGAATACTGCGTGAATGAAAACTAGCGGCTTAAGTTTGGACCCACTGATTGTTTGTTTCTCAATTTTATTGATCGTGAGTGTTTGTTAACAGATGCTCTGACAAGTTTAATTATTCAGTCTTTTGAGATGAAGAGTATGAAATTCTTTCACTAGCCCTTCCTCGTGTACAGACAGAAATGAAAGCACTAATTTTTAAGTATACTCAATCACATACTCTAGACACTGGCATACACTCGAAAGATTTCAGCACAAATTTTACTCATGTTTTGTGCGATACAGTATGATCTCGGAGATTGCATTTCGTTCAATCTCACAGTGGGAGAGTAATTTGGAAGTGTTATATTCACTCAGTTTTCTAAAGAAACACCAGTAGACTACTGGAACAAATGAAAGGCTTGTTCTATCGACACACATCAATTATTGGAACTTTTAAACATCAGGATGAAATGGTGAAAAGTAACAAAAAATCACCTACAGATTTTCGAACATTTACTATAACACAGATTAATTATTCTTAATTTTTCTAAAAATGATTATTAATAGCCTCAAACTAAAAAAAGTACAAATAACAAGACAAAATTAGTTCATATTTGAACTCCGTTCGATTATCATGCATGGAATAGTTGGTCATGTTGAATTCTCTACTTATTTAGTATTCTCATTTACCCTAGTGGAAATCGAAGAGTTGAGATACATTCGGTATCTGTGGTATCGTCTATATACAATACAGTTCTGATATGAAACATGATCATTTTGATGTAAATATTATATAGAAATGTGGTCTGTTTTTAATATACATATATGATTATCTTCAATGAATAACTTCAAGAATTCATTGTTTAATAACTATAAAACTTAAATTCATTTCTTCGAATGGTCAAGTACATGATGATTTCAGCTGAGACAAACAGGAGTTTTGTAGTAATCAAGAGAAAACAGCTGACAAGCCTCTTTGAGGTTTCTACTAGTTAATAGTATTATATTGTTTGCCTTAAAACAAGTAATGACTTTATTATAAAGGAATCTTAGTGACGATGATATCCATTATTAAAATTTGAAGTTCTAAAGTTTAACCAACTATAGTTAGTGATTGCTCATATATTTTTTCTCTCTCTCTCTCTTTATGTATATATGGCACCTCATCATGAATAAAAAACATTTTGACTGACGTTTATCAACTTATACCTATTATAACACTTAGGTGAGCATATTTTTTAACGGGTTATGATTGATTATTTTTGTTGTAATGCAAAATGAATTTCTCTGAGTCACTATATCTATCAAGGTAAGAACATGCAAAAAGGGCGACTAAATGTTGATTGACATATTTTCCACTGACTACTTTATATTACTGACCAATAATAGAATTAGATAATTCTTAAATATTCTTTATGAATGCATTCAAAACTCATTGATTATATTTAGAAGTTTTCTTTTATTAAAATAAAATAGTAAGAAAACAAAAACGAAAATTAATATGTAGGCAATCAGTAATTAAATGGTAATAACAATTCAATAAAGAAGTGCACATTTGTATACTCAGGTTCGAGTCATAATTCAAATATATAAACTAGGGATTCTAAGAGATTATCCAAATGAAAGAAGATAGAATGAAGTCCAATTCTGTAAGAGAGCGGTTAAAGATCAAGACTTTTAATCAACACAAATTCACTGTATTTGGAAATATAAACCACTAGATTTTTTGACTCAATGATCTGAAATTTAGTTAAGAGACCTAGAATTCCTGGGTTCTAACCCTTGTTGGTTCACACTGCTAAATGGCACGAAACTGCAATCACACAGCTATTCAATACTCTCTGGTTTCCAAAAACTTTTCAATTGATATCAAATTTTAGGGAAGATTATATTTGTAACATAGTCTTGTCTTTGTAAACACTGAACGTTGAAAAATGAATGACTCCTTATACTGTTCAGTTGTTTAAAACTAATTGATTCTATTTTATTAAACTGATAAACCAAAGTTTTGTAAACATTTAGTATAAGTCTATAAATAATGCAACTATAGTAACCTATGTGTGAAAGACTACCTGAGGTTTGATAAAATCTTATAGTTTGAAAATATATCGATTAGAATTCAATAAAAATGAACTTAATTGTGCAGTATGCAATAAACTAACACCATTAATTGCTATTAACAAGCAAAGAAATAAGTTTCAGGTAAACATATATATATATGTACTGATACAGGTGATGTGCTATAGTTTTTTCTCATTGTGTACAAACTAATCCTATTACGCTAAGTTTATATGTATTTCTTTTCATAAGAAAATAATGGTATCAATTTTTCCCATATTTTAGTAAATACTATTTCTTATTAAGTGGAAAGGATGCTTACTTATTAAAAAAATTTTTTTGGACGTAATAAATGAGACTTTCTGGCAGTTGTCAGATTAGCGGTTTAAAAATGGGAGCAACTTATAGAGTTCTAAATGGTTTACCACATGAATTGAAATTTAATCCTTTCTACAGTGAAGTGATTTTGTGGTAACTTAGATTTCTGTCTGAGAGATTATGAATAACTCCTAGATCATTAGAAGTAGATTTAATTGTTGAGGTTTTATTTCCTTAATCTTCACGTATTTTTTGATTTCCCAGCGGTTCAACTAGTTAAAATAATGATGTTCCCTTTCGATGAAAGAGTTAAAAATATAAGTTTGTAATTCAATAGGAATAACAAGTTTCATTAAATTATTCAGGTTTTTTTATGCGTCTATAGTATTTCTTTGGTGATTATTTGAATGTGTAAATATATTCTTGTAAAAATACTCGTTATGTTTGCTGAGAAGCCTGAAGAGACCTCTAGAAGTTGCTCCTATTCTTTAACCACTAATCGGACAACTGCCAGAAAGTCTCATTATTAAGTCAAAAATATCATTTCTAATATTACAAAGAAAATGAAGTTTGTTTTGAGGACTGGAATTCCAGATTGACTCATAGTAAACATTTAATGTTGGTTGTTGGCCGTAATCCCTGGATTTGTATTTCCTAATTGGCATTCAGCGAGGTGTATCTGCAGTCTTGAGAGAACTAATATATTCAAACGAGATATAAATTATGTATATCCATCTTGATAGATCTTAATTCCAACCTAATGAATTGAAGATTTCCTGAAGTTTTTAGAAGGATTTTATTCCAAGTTAGATAAATGTTCATAAAATGCAACATAATGATCTATTTATGCATATTGTGGCACATGTTACGAGTTAATGCAAAACAGGCTATTAAGTTCAAAAGATAACATGTTCATTTTAAAGTTGAAGATTAATAAGCCGGACGGTAAGACAGGTTATATAGTGCATACTGTATTCGATAACAGGATAAAAGAATAACTGTACTGCATTTAACTTCTACTAAGTTAGACACTGTTTGACGTTAAATCTGAAGATTCTAGTTCTGTCCTGTGTGTAGTGATAGGTGAACATTGATTAGTAAACAAACAAAATAGCTGCTTGCAATTTACTTGTTTCAAATGCTTCTCCAGTTCTTAACGAAGACTACTTTCCAATCCATCAATTCTACGCAAGACAAACCTGTCCAGTAATATTTACACATAATTTTATCTTATATTTGAAATGTTTACTTGCATAAACACTATTTGTTTATCTAATCACTAACTCTATGCATGTGTCTATTTATGCTTCCTGTATATATATGAAACGTAAGCTAAGTAACATGAACTGTACATTTTTATTTACGTTATGGTTGGACACCACTTACTAAATCTGTAGTAACATTCCAAAATTAGTGTTTATTAGTATACTGGTTGAATAAATATACTTATAACATGTGTAACACACAGAGATTTCGATTGTTACAGTAAATAATGATGTTTTATTTCCATATTAACTTAAAATTAATAACTTCAAATATTGTAGATATATCGGGGAAATCACTTCATACTACTTCACTGGGTTAAAGTTTCACAACTATGAAACATACATAACCTAAGTTGAAAATGTCCCCAGATTGCAAGTGTTTGTTTATATATGTATTCTAACCATGGTTTGCACATGGTAGAACAATCAAGTTAGCAGTATTGACAACAGGAATAGTGATATGCGTAAAAATATCAAATTGATTGATAAAGGTGTGAATCTTCATAGTAAAATGTGGTCGAGGCATATGTTATACATCATGTTCTGCCACTGCTTATCGCCCTATTCCGAGTGAAATAAAGGTAGGTTAGAATAGGTCGAAGAGTGTCTAGAAAAATTATATTACATCAATCTATTAAGTGGTTGATTGGTAACTTGAGCTGTGTTGGAAAATGTAGACTCCCTGGTTGTGGAGTTTGAGGTCGTAATCATGCATAGTTGAAAAAAGTTAGGCAGTATATTTCAAAATAAATCTTATAAGCACAGCTGGATCCATTCTCTACTTTCCTCTAAACCTTTAGCTTAATTTCACCTCGTAGTCTTCATTCTTCAGCTTTACTCGTTCCTTTCGATTTATAAATTCTATGTTTTACTTTCAACTCCAGTTAACATCATTATTTCCACTCTGTTTTTCATCTTGTTAACATCCTCTGTCTTCATGCCAATAGGAAGTGTGAAGCTTTCATTATTCCACATTCACTCCATGTCCTAAGTCATCTATTACTGGCCGTCTCGCTATAAAGTTGATCAAAATGTCCGTAATCTAGGCTTAATATGTTTATCGAGCCTCGTAGAATCGTCTAAGTGATTTATTATTATTTTATTTATTTATTTGAACACACAAATATTGGTAAAAGGGGGCACCAAATACATATACGCCACACAAAACAATGAGAATGGGAAGAGAAAATAGAAGGTAACGTGCGTATATGAAAAAAAGAAGAAAAACCAATAACGACCACAGATTAGTGTAAGGTAGTGTAATAATAATAATAAGAGAAACGGAAAGGTACAACCAGAAGAACTCTTTTAGTTGAGGAAGTTACAACCACTTTTTATGAAGAAAGTAAAAGAAGGTTACAGCAGGATCGCCACTGGCTTCTATTCTGAGCCATATCTGATAACGTCTCTAGCCACTGTGTAGCACCATCTCTCGGACCCCAACCAGGAAGTCGTGAAGGGCCAGGAGAAGCCTGCCCTTTGCAGCTTACTTTCATACCACGACACCATGTCATACACTGACCACCTCTCCGCTTCAACCAACCAGTCCCAGAGTCGGCAAATAATGCACGACGTGGAATTCTCTGGGACGACATTCGTAGGACATGTCCAAGCCACTGAAGTCGATGTTTTAGGATGATGACACCAATCGGATTATCGTCTCTGCGCCCGAACACACGATGCTGAACCTCTGCATTATTAACATGGTGTTGCTACTGGATGTCAGCAATCCTTCGGTGACAACGATGATCAAACACAGAGAGTCGTCTAACATCCTCAACTCGGAGAGGCCAGGTTTCACAAACATAGAGCAAAACTGCTCTCACCGACGCTTTGTAGATCCGACCTTTTACAGCCAGACTAACATCATGAAGGCGCCAAAGGTGGCCCAGATTGGCATAAGCCGCTCTGGCTTTCACTATACATGCATTGATCTCATCACTCACGTTACCACCAGCGCTTGTGCAGCTACCCAGATACACGAACTTTTCGACTGCTTTTATCTGCTTACCATCCAGGATGAGTACAGGATTAGAATCCTACCAGTCTTGTAGAAGTACTTTGCACTTCGAAGGTGCAAGGCATATACCATACCTGCGGACACTGATTGCCAACTGATTAAGTGCGGATTGCATGCCTTGGGCATTATCGCACAGTAACACAATATCATCCGCATACTCAGGGTCGAGAAGTCTTTCTCCAGATAGAAGATCTACACCGCCATTACTTACATCCATCAGAGCTGTTTCCAGAATGTCATCGATGGCAAAGTTGAAGAGGAATGGTGAGATTGGGCAACCCTGCCTAACCCCACTGCTCGAATAGAACAATGGAGAGAGGTGGTTGTATGCCCTCACTCTGCCTGAGGTGTTTTTATATAGGGCTTTTAGGATGTTAATAAACTTCTCAAGCACACCCTTCTTCAATAGACAATCGCAGAGAACAGTCCTGTTCAACTAATGGAAGACAGCTCTAATGTCAAGAAACACTACGATTGTTGGCCTTTGATAAGTATGACAGTGTTCTGACATTTGACGGAGGGTGAAGATATGATCAATACATCCTTGACCAGAACGAAACCCAGCCTGCTCCTCACGAGTCAATCTTTCTCGGGTTTTGAACGACCTACGAAGTATGACGGAAGCCAATAGCTTGGACGCAATCGGAAGTAGACTTATCCCCCGATAGTTGCTACAGGAACGACGTGAACCCTTTTTAAAGATAGGGACAACTATCGACTCATTCCATGACGTTGGTACACTCTCTAGTTCCGAAACCTTTGTAAACAGCGTCGTCAATTCCTTAGTCAAAAAGTCACCACCATCTTTAAAAATAGCCGGAGGTAAGTCATCTGGGCCAGGTGATTTGTAACGCTTCAAGAGTTGGAGTTCCTTGCGGACTTCCTCCTCGTTTGGTGAATCAGTCGTCACCGGCCATGGAGGGCAGGACAGTCTGACCGATGTTGCCGGAGCAGCAGGCCAGTTGAACTGCCCTTCGAAGAATTCTGCCCATCGTCCAAGACGTCGATGGATGCTAGTGATCGGCATCCCGTCATTTTCACAGATTGTTTCGATCACACCAAACTTACGGCCCCCAAATGCCCTAGTATGGCCGAGAGTGGAGAGTGCCCGCCCTCCTTCTCGAAATGCTCTCACATGGCCACGCATATGCAGCCTATGACAGGCAAGTCCTACTCATTGCTTTGTGGGTCAGACCTCTAGGTCAAAGGCTCGGGGTGTGGCCCCCTAAGAAAACCACCTGCTTCGGTCTGGGCACCCGGGCAGTATTACAGCCCACACACAAATAGAATGAAATGACGATATTTACGGAAAATACTATCTTGTAAGTGAGCCTAATTAGTGTTTTCTAATAGTGGTTTTTAATCCATTTGAAGTTTGTTTGTTTAGGTGTTCGTAGTTCGACACACATGTAATTCTGTAATGTCCAAAAGTGTGTTAAGTAGTGTAAAGCATGCAGTTGTCTGTCGACTAGTGGAAAGTCTTATTCAATATTGAATACAGAATACTTAGTACATTAAACGAAGCATTCCCAAACGTCTATTTGGTTTATACAGAATACTCAGTAGCATTAATTACCTTTCAAGTTATTGGAGTAACTTTAGAGAACAGTGAAATTTGTTTAATTTCGTTACACTATAACTAGTCCTGTGTTACTGCTGATGAACTAATCAGTAGTTTAAATTCATTAAACATCTTTACACTCTAACTACCAAGCTTCCCAAAACCAAATACCTTTGTCTCGTTTCAGAACTGAGTCTAAAATATTTTAATAGTGAATATCTCCGTGTGTGTCTTATCTTTACAATACATATATTTCATTTCATGAATTAACATTTCTTTACCAAATATAGCACAAATAACCTGCTAGTATGATGTACATTACTGTCATCATAGAGCATTCATCTATCTATCTGATTTGATAAAAACTGCATTAAAAATCAATATAAGTCTTTAATATATTTTTCAATATCCATATTGTACAAAATTATTCTTAATTAGTATCATGAATTTGTGTTATTGTATAGTCCTGTAACAGGGCAGGGTAAAATAAAGTGTTTGCCTAGTACTAATATTACTGCGTATATACATATTAAATAGTGGCGTCAAATAATTCATCCATATTTCAGTGTTCACAAGATTTTTCGGACCTAACTCGTATTTCTGTTAGCAGCATCAGCTGAGATAAAAATGTACCATATAATTAGGATTTTTGTGAACTGATCAAAACTCTCATTTTACGATCGATGCTATAAGGAAGAAAAGTAGGATAGGCAGACATATATATATCACGAAAAACATAAAAAGGGTACTTCAATTTATGTGATTGGAGGCTAGATCAAACTATCTTGGGCATGCACATAACCATGCTAGAATGTGGACATAAATGTATATGTGTTTTTAATCTATAGATTAAACTTTTTTTATTGCCGTACACTTTACTAATGTAAAATACATATGCTTAATTAACATACTAATGATAGTAACGACGTTATGTTTAACATTGAAATGCTTGCGGAAAATAGTGTTAATTGAATAGTGTATGTTCAAACATCGGAAAGTTACTCATTACAAACCCGAAAAAAAGACTTTTCAGATCTTTCTGTTTCCATGTCACTTTCAGAATTGAATTATTCTATTTCCATCGGTATAGTGGGCTTTTGAATAGATGTCTTTATGCTGCTCACATTTACGATCTTACTGAACCCTACATTTGCCAAGATTCACATCACGGTTTGTTTTAGACACACCAGGTGTATATCATGGTATTCTAGTGTATATGTTTCTACTGTGACTCGAGTTCAACACTCATTACTGAAAAAGATAGACATTTCAACTCATCATATATATATGCTAAAAATTAACTATCGCAAAATGCAATACTTCATCCTTTCTTTTTAGTTTGTTTAAAATATATTCAAGGCGTCTGCATGAATTATTGAGAATACAATAATGTTCATTTTACAATATCTAATCTACTTTCTTATATTCGAGTTTCCTTCTGATATCATTTCAATTTCAAATAATCCTTTTATTAAACGAAACCTCATAAGCCTTATGCAGTCATCATTAGTTTCTTACTTTATGATTAATTCCATATAAACTTAAGAAGAAGTTTATGAACTGTGATACCTGATGATTTTGTTCCATAAAATATTTCATATTACATGAATTCGATGAATAAATCATCTCAGAACTTAAAGTTCCTGGGTTCCTGCGTTGGCAGTAAGCACTATTGCAGAGCTTGTAATTAGGAGTAAACTGTTGTCTAGTGCTTTATGCAACATTATGGCTTTTCAACTGCATAAAAATTGTTCGCGAAATAACATACTATCTACGTAGTTGTTTTTTTTTGTATCCAAATGTTAAGTAGCCAGTGTTTCTTTCCATTTTATCTACTTGGATCCATCAAATAGACTTTGAACAGCTGTATAAACATTTCTGTAAATAAACAATCCTAAAATAACAATCTCCAATTTTATGAAATCTCTAAGTGCACATTTAAGTAAAATTTATCATTTGGTAAGCCCATTGATCAAAAGAGAAAACGTTTTGTTTAATCACAAACAGTGATGCATTATTTGTACTGAATCCACTGGGTTACAGTGACATACGTACAGGATTCATAATAACTTCGTCATTTATATAATATAACTAACTAATTTAGTAAGAACTAATATATCAGACCTAATATATCCTAGTTGAAAAGAACTATAGATTTCGACCATTTGCTATTTGGCTTAACAAAGTTCAAATCTATGATTTGATGATTAAGAAATTGAACAATTGAGCTCTTGTTCTACCATTTTGTTTCTACTACAATAGACAGAAAAACAATACATATTATAAATTAACAGTTGATTGTTTCAACTAATAATGAAATTTAACTGGATAATAGTGACTTACAAAAAGTAAACAAGTAATATCAGAGGGACCAAGCGTGAATAAATATAAGAACATAGATCAACAAGTGGCTAGGAAAATGTTTTAGTCTTATGCAGCAAAGTAATATGCACTAGCTTTTATATTGAAACTGAACAGAACAGACATATATAGAAGGTATTTAAAATATAAGAGACCGTAAGACAAGGTTCGTTGTGTAAATTTTCCATCAACTTATAGACTAATTTATCTGACTACAAAGTTCATTTTCTCATTTTGAATATCAGTTCCATTTTGAAAAACAACATCTTTTCCAAATCATAAATTTGGTGTTATTATACTATAAAATTGAAAAAAAATAAAAATACCAAATGAAGGGTTGCTCAAGATCATGGGTTGATTGAACTTAGACATTAACACTGTTGGACGCCTCCTCAGTGGTCTAGAGGTTAAGCGTTCGCTTACGAGACCAAAGGTCCTGGTTTCGAGTCCCGCATGTGGGATAGTGGATGCGCACGGCTGAAGAGTTCCATACTAGAAGCAAACGGCCGTCCAGTGTTTCCAGGTTTTCGATGATAGTCTAGCTTACATCGACTTATGAATCCAACTATTAAAATACCAAATAAACAATCCGTAGAAATTTGAATGAAGTTAACGAATGCAGAAACCTTTTTCTAGTAAGAATATTACCCCGGAATTCTTGATCCAGGGAGAAAAATAACTACATATTCGTGAATTGTCCTGATAACTTTTCCATTTATTATTTTGTTACAATAAATATCTATTCTGTAATAATCAGCGTTGAATATTTTACATATTCTCAAGTCATTAAAGTACAGCTAAAATTCTCTTTAACCCTAACATCTACACTCTCATTCTTATCTCAATATAATTGGGTAGTTTAGTAACATGTTGTTTTACCGAATATTTAATAATCGTTTTCTAAAGTGCTGTATTTATCTGTCACATACCTTTACCATCCTAAGGTTATAGTTTATCCTCTATGTGTCATTCGAGAGTAATGATTGGTTGTTCAAGTTTATTTCTACATTGACTTTAGTTATTATAATTACTATTTTTTTCTAATCAGACACCCTTTTCATTCATTCTAACTTTTTCGTTTTTTTTCCTATAATTGAATTTCAAGCAGTAAATACTAATGGAAACAGAAGGATTGGAAAACGAATTAATTCAATCAATTCGACCTAGTTTAAATGAATTATTACGAATATGGGATTATGTGGGTGAGATATGTTGTTGTATTCATTTTTGCTTTATTTTTCTTATCGAATGTTATATAACAAGAATTCTTTACTTCTTCCGAAATACGTGTGTTTTAAAGAAGTAACTCCATTCATATATAAAAAAGTTATGTTAAATGAGTTTTTTCCCCACTTTTTGCTTTAAGATTTCTGCGCGTCGATAAGACTGTGTGTGTTGGTTGGAATTCTCATTTCTCCCTGAGAAAAGTAAAGATTAAACTCAATGTAAGGACAAATGCTTTTGAGTATGAAATCTGTAGAGAAATAGGATGTATGTAAAACAACTATATAATTGTGGGTTAAGTTATTGAGTCAATAACAGGGTAGTGACTATTTGTCGTGAGATGTACAACTGTAATGGAGCTCTCGCTTCAATAGTACGAAAGTGCCAATATCTGCAGTTTCTTTTCAATACTAAAATTCCCAAACGTATTGATTTAATCTTTATATCAAGTATATAGTCAAATTATGGCACGAGTGCACATGTTTAACATTTTATGTACTTATTTCTGATATCAAACTAGGTGATTAATTAATTACATCAACTGAATTCCACTTTATGAATGATCTCGGTTGTTTCATTCCAAATCACACAGTGCCTTTGTAAAATATGAAAATCATACATTAAATACATCATTTGCACATCTTCCTTCAGTTGTCTTTTAAATAATTGATCATTCTTCCAATTCTGTTGTTATTCCGATTACTCTTTGTTTTCCTTAATTCAGTCTTCTGCTAGTAAGTATTACACTTCCGATTCCTTCTACACACTACTAATATCTGTCCTCATAAGTAGCACCCACCACAGTAGTGTTCACTTGACATAATCTTACCATTTTCAGTACATTATTCTATATTGAAGTATATATGTATGGATTACTGTTATTTCTTGAAAATCAATCCCAAGTAAGTAGGTTTTTCAATCATTGGTATATTTTTGAAGTATTAGTAGATAAATTTTAATCAATCTCATTCTCACATCCTATCAACCAATAAATGTATTGTGGCCATTCAACCAAATGACATGACATTATAAACTTCTTTATTGGGATTCAAGATGTTATTCAGTGACTTGTTATGAATGTTCAGACTTAAGTTTTATGCTATTTAGTGTACTTTAGGTAAGAGAACACCTGCAATATTATATGTATTGAAAGTTTTACACTCCTTCATACATCACACAAGATCTTAATCAAATACTCACTGATATTTTTTATAAGTAGTTTGTATGAACTTGAGGTATATATATATATATATATATATATATATATATATATATATATAATCACCAAAACACATTTGTGTAATCTATTTGATAACTCAATCGCTCGATATTTAACCGATCGTTAGAATTTGAAGCCCTGTTTCCAAACAATTCATGTTAGCCAGCTAGCCGGTATCACAACCTTTTATATACAAACAATTTGACTCACATTTAAGGACATAAACTTATGCATGGTGAGGGGATGATCCTATTGGTTTACAATATTCCAGAGCATAAAGGTATCTTATATTCAGTGGTTAACTTGCCGCAAGCTTGTATCAGGACTCATTTGGATTATAGTTCTATTTTATCTTGTGAATATATATATATATATATATATATATATATATATATCTTGTAATAGTGTTTTTTAGTATTAGTTGTTGCTATTATTATTAATTTAAAAAATTCATCATCCAGGTTATAATAAGTTGGAACGTTCACAACGTCTAAAACATTTTGTTCAAAAACTTGAAACTGTTCTATGCGAAGTAATTAAAGAAGAGAATTCTGCACGTCTTATGATGGAACAAAAAATTGAATTAAGACGTAGAGAAATCGCTGATATGTGTCAACAATTAGGTTTGGCACCATTCCTACCTGAACGTGGACTTACTTCCAGTGAATTAATGAGAGTACGTATGTTGATCTTTTCTTTCATGCTGTATTATCTTGTTCCCAAATTTCTTTACTAATATGAGAGACTTTTCTTACAGTTTGATTGAATAATCGATTTGAACTTCAGCAAGAAGCTGGATTCCATCCTTCTATGGCTAAAATAGATTTGAAGTAAATTGAACAAACACCGTGCGATGATAATTTTTAGAATAGCTGAAAATAATTTTGTAAAAAAGATATCCCGAATTCTATACACTAGATTACATATAAATAATAATACCATAATGTACATGAAGAGGACAATAACTGCCGTGATGAAATACTTGTCGTTTGCATTTCCTTAACAAGCAAGACAAATAGTTTTCTTGAAAACCTAGTGAAAAACACTTTGTGTTTTAAAAACATGTTTACTAGGTTTGCATTTTAATAACACTTAACATTCTATGAAGCGTAGGTATATGTCTAGCTGACAAGTGATTGTATTTTAGGTCGATATACATGTTAAAATAAGTGAGGTAGTAACTAATCGATAATAGTGAATTAGAATCGTTCTATATCACCATATATTAAATTAATTCATCGAATATCGACTTAATGATCCCGTGTTTGCCCAGTGAACTTGAGAAAAATTTTGATTTACTATCTCCTATGGACTGAAGAGCGTTTTTTTTGGGAAGGTTCCTTTTTGTGGGATTGACTTGCTCAACTCCCCTTTATCCGGGCTTGGAATCAGCAGTAACATCAGAACTCCAGGCGGAGGTACAGGTATTTTTAATCATATTTCTGTGTGGGATCCGTTGGCTGGATTCTATCAGCAATAACCTACTACGGGAGAGAACGAACCAGCTTCCAACTGAAGAGGAAATCAGGAAAAGATGCTGGAGGTGGATAGGACATAGATTGCGAAAATTAGCAGATTGCTCCACGAAGCTAGCCCTAACCTGGTATTTTCAAAATAAAAGTAAAATACAGAGCAAAGGACACAGTGCGCTAGGAAACGGAAGCAGACATCAAAACAATGAACAGCTCTTGGGAAAAACTGAAAAGGAGAGCCCAGGACAGAGTTGGTTAGAGAATCCTGGTGGGCATCTGATGTTCCACGAGGGGTAGCAGATGTATGTGAAGTAATTGATGAACGGATCAATGCGTACATTGCGTAGGACTTTAAAATGTATGCGACTATATAGGTAGGTCTTGAGTGCTCAACTGTTTTCAGTGTTCCTCCAGGTGATATCCATTCATGATAGGAATTACCTCTGAAATTACACAAATTCTCTACAAAATCACTGAATTAGTTAACTTATTCTCTTGTAAGAATCGGTGACGAGATATCAACACATAATCTAATCATAACCTTAATATTCAATAATTGAATTCATGAGACAATACTCATTATCAATCATTATAAATTAATGTTGTTTAAATTGGGTTTGATTAAACCCCTACTTTTTGTATGTGTTTAGATGTAATTTTATTTTTTATTGTATGTTTGCATTTTGCAGTATTTCAGCCTGTTTGTTTTCTTAATAAGCTACTTATATTATATACATATATATGGTTGAATATCAACAGTAGTCCTCATCAATTATCTTCATCGATTGATTCTCACTGGTGATTCTGTTTTAACAACTTTTCATCGTTAGAAATCGACTATATTTATTCATTTGTTTATTCGGACAACATAAAAGTTTTGTATGTGACATTGTCTAAATCGATAGTATTTATCATAAGTTAAAGGTCAATTATATATTTATAGAGTGTTTATTTAGTTGTTTTTGTTGCATAAATCTGATTCAGAAAGAAGTATTGATATTCCTAGTGATATATTTGTACACCGTTCTCTTGTGTACAAATCTCCTGTATTTCATCCTTGATTTGTGGATGATTTCTTTTCTATCGAAAAAAAATGCTGAAATGAATTGATTACAATTTGTGGATTAAATCATTCATCAGGCAATTAGGTATGAGCCACATTCTAAGTTTGAAAGTTAATAACAGTACTCGGTTACAGAGTATGAACTTGAGAATTGATAGTCAAAATGTGAACAGTTTAACATCAAGACCACTGCTCTACTTTTACTTAACAGTACTGTTATATCCGAGCGAAGAATAAATCACGAGTAACTTCTGAGACATATTAATTGACTAATATTATCTAAACATTCTTATGGTGTAATTATTCAATAATTAGATTATGTATATTTATATTCCTCTTATTATAAGCTTCATTTTGATTTATAATTTGTTATTATACGATTTACTGTCCCTAAATTATGCTCAGTTTATTAACTACTGCCTCCAACGTTCGCAGCCACTTTTTGGCTTTATTGTGTACAAATGTTATTTCCTATTTTATGGTGCGTTGCAGTCTGTTTGGTTGATATGTCTGAAATATGTCTGAAATAGATGATTCGATTCGATTCACATAGTGGAAGCTGGTATTGGTGTTCTGGACTCAAGTGGATGGGCTAGGTGGACATAGGACCAATTAAAATGCTAGGCTGCTCATACCGGTCGAACGTCATTGTTTTGGCACAGTGCTAAGATTGTATAAGTTGTATTTTGATTGGTGGATAAATCACGTGATAAAAAGCCGGACATAAAGTCATAACAATTGTCGTTCGGCAACAACTTATTGATATATTAGTAGAATACTTTATTCCGTGTCCTAGACAGAAGTTAATAGGTCCAGATATGTTTTCTATTTATTGAAACATTTTATGTAATGTATAAATTCAAATCACTCATATCGACTTGCAAAAGTATATTAAGTTATTTAACTTTAAAATATCAGTGAATAAATATAAACACTAATCAAGTGTTTACACAGGTGACTTAACAGCAATATATATATATATATATATATATATATATATATATATATAATTTGAAAATGGCTGTTACCATGATCTTGTTGTCTGTATGACTGATATCAGTTCACGAATCAAACTATCTTTTAATTAATTTATATTTGAACAAGTAGTTTCATGAAGATTGAACGCTGAATACGTAGAAGTCAATTAGTAGTGCGATGGTTCAGTAGATAGGGCGTTCGACTTTGATTCAAAGCTGTAGGTTCACATTCCACCCCACTTACTTCAGTTTGGACGACTATTTAGTTTCACTAGCCCCTTAACATTTAGGCTGTGATTTGAAGTTAAGTACCTGCATACCTGGTAAATGAGTGAGTTAAGGTTAACATCTAGAAAACATCATGTATGAAAGTACATCCGTAAAACATCCACCGCTTAAAACTAAAAAGACTGCAACATTTTTAATTTTGAGATCACTTAAATTTATCCATTCGACAACTGTTCAAAGTATTATTAAATGTTAAGAAATTTTCCGCATAATAATCTCAAAATTCAAGAATCAATGAAAATATTTACCAGCCTACATTGTTCATTTTATCTATTATAAAATGTCCTAATTGTGTGTGTATGTGTGTGTGTGTACAATAATTTCATATCAGAATTTCAGTCGAAAGTTTTCTGATCTCTTATTAGAACTTTTAACAAATCAATTAAAGACTACATTGTACAGTTGTCATGTCTAATACTATTGGTTTATTATCTTCATAATTTTGTTTATATTTTTTTACAACATGATTTATCCTAAATATTTCAGTATTTTTAATTTATAAAAAACTTAATTTACATTCAACATCTAATGGGAAACAATATTAGGATCATTCAATAAAAAATTCTAGATATAAAACTGGTAACATTGACACCTAAAGTAACTGTATACTTAAAGTGATTTCTACATTCCACATATGCCAATAACAAACTGATCAATTGCAGTCTTAAACCTTATTGGGAAGATACAAGCCAAACAATACCAAATGAATTTAAATTCACCCCATTGCACAAGCAAGTGGCTATCAGGATTCAGTAGCTGAGTGGATAACGCGATGGCGTTTGAAGCGAATGGTACTGGGTTCGAGTCCCAGAGTGAACATCAACTCTGGAATACCAGTACATCTAGCTGACGAATCCCAAATAGGACAAAACGCGCGTCCTGGATTCCCCTACTAGCCACTATTCATCATTGCTTACAAAAACATTATTGATATTGCTTGAAATAAATATTGTTTTAATTCTAATTCACATATATACTGATTGTTTGAATCTCTCCATTGATGTTTACGACAGGAATTAATACTGAACTGGAGTTCCAGAGTGAACATCCAGCTGAAACGCTCGTCCTTTACTGCTAGCCACCGTTCATCTCTGCTTAAATATTGTTTTAGTCATTAAACATTATTAAAATCCTTTGTTTTTCTTTTCAAACTAATAAGTTTGATCACTTGCAGTAACTAATGGTTTAAAAGTGTTATCATATGTAATATGCATATCCATCGCTAAGTTCAAATCATTAAATGAGCTGGAAATAAGAAAGAGTTGAAGAAACTTCAGGTTAAGACATGACGGTTCATTTGATTTATATATTGAACAAAAAAAGTTATTGATCAAGATCTATATTTACTGGTTGATATGATTCAAAATTGACCTAGGTGAATGTTGTTATGTTTAATATTTATTATACTTTAAGTTAAATGAATTCCTTATTGATTTTAATTTCTTTCCTTTTATCCTGTTTTCATTTTTTCGTCTCTTTTTATCTGTTCTTTTTGACGAGTATTTTTATTTCTTCTCACTGTATTTTTGCTATATGGAAAGAGGATTTATGAAAAATTGAACTCACGAAAATTATTGTACCGAGAATTATGGTGTATATTTTTATATGGTTGAAATATTGTATTTTTGTCTTCTCTTATCTGTCAGTTTTTTGATTGACCTATCAGTCGTTGTTGTATGTCTTACTGTCGCAGATTTATCGCTAATTATTTCGTTTATGTATCGCTTATGACTGAGCTGTGTATACATTGCAATTTCCTAATTGTGTTACTACGCGGTCACTTACTAAGATATATTATTGTGTGGCTTTTCATTCATGCATGAACAGAGTACAATGGAGAATTGATCTACTTGTTATCTTAATCTTGTGATTGGAAAAGGCCAATTAGTTTTTCGATTCTCTAGTCATTATTCATTGTTAGTGATTCGTTCCTTCAGAAGTTACTGGTTTTATTGACAATTTAGGCGAATAAGCCAGTAATCGGGCTGGATAGTATAACTGCTACCATAATAAATAGCCCGATCACAAGTTTGTACAAATCAATAATCTGTTTTTTTTTAAGATACGATGATATTTTGAGTTGGGCCATTTGAATCGGCACGTTACCACGCCCAGTCCTACGTCTTTTTTTCATTTGTCACATTTAAGGTTTATCCTCTTTCTTTCTCTTTCTCTCAACCTAATGAATTTTGACTATCGAACCCCTTCTTTTTGAGATTCTTCGATTGTACTCTCAACAATAGATATTCCCTCTAGTCAGTTAGACGAATGTATACAAAATCGATGTCTTCTCATGTCGTATTCCTCCCTCCGTTATAACGTGTCTATTCAATTTAATTTGAAAGTCTCAACAAGAATGTAATTCATTAGAAAATAGTTCTTTCCATAAAATTTATCCCCCACTCTATTTTGTCTGTCATTGTTAGTCATTGGATGAAAAAGCGGAAGAATTAATTCAGCAAAAAAGTGCCCGATGTGAACGTTATTGTTGGTTACGATCGAAGATATTACATTTAGATAATTTATTGGGTGGTGACCAAATATCGGATATAACAAAACATAAGCTTGATATAGATTTTCACACTACCTTCCCACCGATTATAAAATTTTTTGGACAATCGAATTGTATTGATCAAAATAACATGGATAAAAATGGTCATTCAAATGAATATGAAAGTTTAGATCCTTCGCTAATTTGTAAGTGTATTTTTGATTTCTTTTTCTCCTTATACTTAATAGTGATTTAATCGTGAACACTTTTAGAATAATAACTAAATTTAGGAAAATTGTTTTTTGAATATTGATTTCATCTGGAAATTTCAGAAAATAAAAAAATACATTGAGCAGGCGTGTAGTTACAGTCTAGGGCTTGTCAGCACTGTATATCATCAATCTCATGGAAGATTGAATCTGGGTCTTTTGAAGTCACGCTGCTGTGTATACAACCTCTTAATTTATAAACTTTCTGTCCAGTTGGATAGTAGGCATTATGAACTTTTTGTAGTGTGCGTAGCTTCGTTAAACGTTAACCATGATAACCGTTAGTACGGGGGACCCCACGGGATTGAATTCAGAAGGCAATTAATAGTTGCAACTACATTTTATTAGCTGATCGCGCGAACCACAAGATTACAAACACAGACAGACCAAAGAATCATTGCAGGCGAATATAAAGGAAAATTTGTTGTCATACTAAATAAAGACAAGGCGAATCGAATTACAGTTTGTTTTTATAATACAAGGACATATATATGAGGGATAGATAATAAGACATTGAGCTGTATTTAAGCAATCAATATTTGACTTAGACAGAAATATGCGTAGGTCGTAAAAAACATTAAAATATACATGTTTACGTAGGTACGATAGCGATTATACTAATACAAAGAAACAAACGAATCGTTACTATATCGATAACATTGTATCTCAGATGAAAGGATCTGACAGGGATTAACGGTTATCAAAATTAATTGTAAGAGTGTTACTAAAATATAAAACTCTGAGATCCTAAATCGTGAATGTCAAGTGCTTTTCTTAAGCGTGAACACTCTGAATAAATTATCCGTCAAGTTAAGTCACAGAATTATAATACACAATGCAATTCAGTTAACTGAATTATGAACGTCCATTGAATGTAGTGTTAGAAACTGACTAATGGAACGTGTATCATTCATTCTATTTGTTTGTTTACCTATTCAAACAACTTAACAACTTAATTTGAATGAACTTATGAATTATTCGTCTATATTAGTCTTCAATAGTTGAAATTATGAGTCAATTGAAGCTAGACCACCATGGAAACCTGGAAGCACTGGACGGCCGTTTCGTCCTAGTATGGGACTCCTCAGCAGGTTAAGCGCTCGCGCGCGAGACTGACAGATCCTGGGTTCGAATCCCGCGTGGCGGAATCGTGGATGCGCACTGCTGAGGAGTTCCATACTAAGACGAAACTACCGTCCAGTGCTTCCAGGTTTCCATGGTGGTCTAGCTTCAATTGACTCATAATTTCAACTATTGAAATCACTAAAATCTCCACAAAACCCCTTCTGATATATTAGTGTTATCCGAAAAATAGACTAAGTTGTTTCTTTTGCATCCTTTTTCAGAGTATTTGTCAGTTCATAGTTTTGATTCACATTATTATTACTAAAAGTTTATTCTTCTTTGAGGAGTAAAGGTAAACAAACATTGTACTACCTAATGGTACTGAGGTGGCTCGGTGAATCTGACTCCTTTTTAGATTGTTTAAATATTTGCTATCGCTGATTCTCGTATATCATCGTCGACTTGAATCGCGTTATCCAATAACGGAATTAAATAAGTCGAATAACGAGAATTGACTTGAGAATACATATATTTCGTACATGAAATGAATGAAACATAGCAAAGCAAAACGACACGCAGGGAAGATGGCTGGGAAGCCAACTCCATCTTTGTCAAGCGTTACTCAATATTTATAGTCAGACAAAATAAAGCTACAGACATGTGATTAATGGAATAAGAAGGGCACACACATATACGCTCATATAAAAACAGTCTAGATTGATAAGCGAATAAATAACAAGGTCAATGTATGGCTCAAGTAAAATGAATAGAATGGGATGTCCGAAAGCTCGAATAAGGTATATGGGCTTGGCATAATAACTGACACTACAGTACCATAACACTTATCTATTAGCTTCTAAATTAATTTATCTGATGATTCGATATAAAGTATAATTGATCAGTAGATGATGGCATTATCCAACACTCCACAGACTAGAATATTGAAATATGAATATGAGCGAAACACACCGTCTTGTATAACAGTCTACCACTTAAAAAAAACGAAATATCAACACTTTGCTATGCTGAAGAACGTCATATTGTATTTTTCTTAGTTTTGTAATACAATTACATTATTTTTCATTATTTTATTTTTGCCAAAGGATCAAATGCTATTGAGTATTAAATTAATTGTGTTCATTTTTTCATTCTGCTATAAAGTACTTACAATTTATGGTATTTGTGATTGACCAACTCAATCATTTGCTCATGTACTGGTTTTTATGTTTAGATTTAAACCACACTATCTGTGTAGGGCATCAGTGATACTATCTGGTTATGTAAATCGAAGTGGGTAGTATAAAATTTGAATTCGCTACTCATTACTTGAAAGCTGAGTACTTTAACCACTAATGCACCATTACCACTCATTAATTATGGTTACTTAGATCTTAGGTAGAGTTTATGTTTCAAGTTAATAATAATTATTATTAATATTTATTACCAAACACTTGAGTACAGTAAGTAAATCTAAATAACAAATACGCCATCTTGAAAAAGCTATCTGTCTAACACATTCAAATTGTGAGATTATTCAGTAAATATTGAAAAAAAATTTTCACCGTCGATATGTTCTACCCGTACTCAATAGTCAAAGTTTACCACCAGCTCACCTGTTATTATTATTATTTCCTATATGTTACATGACAGTTCTGTTTTTATCTCCTAATAAATATGATATTCTATTGTGTTGTTGTTTAAGCACAAATACATTATTAATGTTAGTAAGTAATGTGATATGATTTTGAATAGTGATAATAATAGTAATAAACATGTGACTCATTTACTGAGTAAAAGTTAATGTACTTAACATTAATAAAGTATACATCATAACTAAATTGGACCACAGAATAAAACAGCTGTACAGTTATGTTGCGCACTTCCCGCAGTAACTAAACGAATATGTAAAATGTGAAGTCTGGAATGAACAAGAATATATAATACCGAGACCTAAATCAGTATATACACAACTGATTGGCGTATACCTACATCTCACCTATCATTTAACATTGGACTAGCCTGTGCACATATGCACCTGATATATTTGGATTTGCCTAACTTATTAACTCCGTCCTCCTGAAAAGTAGGTCTATCTTTTCGGACTCAGCTACAAGATTTAATGTAGGCTTGCATTAGTCACTACCTAGCTATCTAAACCAAAGTTGATGTTAAAGGGTTCGAAATTGTGGCCTGATGATCGATAATTGAGCGGTTTATCCACTAATTTACCTCTATGCAATTTTTGATAATACAAAATTATCTCGAAAACCTAGAAGCATCTAACGGTTATTTTGTCCTAGTGTGAGACTCCTCAGCAATCCATACTCATGACCCTGCACGTGGTAATCGAACCTCAAGACCTATCTAACTGGCGAACGCTTAACCTCTAGACTACTAAGTTAGCATCCAACAGTGTTAAGGTCTAATTCCAATCAATCCACTATAACACAACCCTCTTCCATTGTCTTCGGTGGGCAACTGCTTCACACCCCGATATGGTTGAACACCACTGGTCAAGGCTTCTCACCAGAACACCTCCTGCGGGATCGTAGGTGTAAACTGAAGAGGATCCTCATACCAGCATGAGACGGCTGTTCAGTACTTTCAGGTTTTAAAAGGTAGTCTAACTTAGATCAGCTCAGGATTTCAATGAAATTCAATAATCTTCACGACCTTATACTTTCTATTAAATAGTTAATAAGCTTATTTTGGAACTGTTTTCTGCACAAGTTTAAACCACTCATTTTACCAAACAGTTGAATCTTACAGTCTTTTTCACTATTCCATGACATATAAGCCGTATCTTTCTCTTAGTATAGAAATAATGATTTATTTTGGACTTTGGTAGTCGAATGATGAATGTTATTCGATTATTAACATTCGAACATGGGCCGCTAACTGGAAAATCTTAATGTCATGTTGATTTTCATGTGAACAATTTTCGAAAGAAAAATACTCAGTAAAACAACAGCCAAGAATTCTCAGTCAGTTCTTAGCCAATCAAAGAAACGGCTTTTGTAAATGAATAGTTTATGAAAAAAATATATTGAAGTGTTAACAGATTTTACATAATCAATTTAGTAAAGTCTTTCACAGGTGATTCTCCCTGCCAATCGGAGAAAAACAACGATATAAAAACGTTCTTATAGATATAGGTTGTTTGTCTTCTCGAACATTTAAAAGGACCAAAATATATTAATAAGGGTCTCTACATTTTTCATAGTTGGAGTTAGGAATGGAGGTTGAGGGTAATATTTTTGTCATGAACTGACAGATATGCAGAAAGTCTGTGTAAGCATATGGATAAATGAATTTCACTCAAAAATCCAAGAGATAAAATATGATTGGTTCGTACATAAAATTACAACTCCAATAGGTTAAGATTTGTGTTAGTAAATAAATGTTTCGAGTTAGGTTTCAGAGATAGATTTGATTTGCTTATGAAAAACAATTTACAGAAAAAGAATTGAACATTTAACACGTTTAACAATATTATTTTAAACCCTATGCTGGCAAGAAAAAGTATATTTTTGTCATCATTCTAAACGTTTTGAGCAATATACAAAGATATTTCTACTGTTTATTGAACGTGATATTTGAAGTTCGCGCAAAAAAGAATCAAAAATCACGCTCTACATTCTGATTGTCTAGTCTGTATACTATATGTTTATGTAATATTGTGGTGTGTGCTACTTATATTGATATAAGTAGTATATATCGCGAGTTAAAACGTAATATCTGGCAGCAGAAGATGAGGTGAAGATCAAGAAAGGAAGAGCTAGAGCACAATGGAATTTGTAAGAAAACGCATGTACAATGGAATGGAAGACAATGGATTAGTGTTTGCAACGGAAACAGTCCAGTTTGATATGATGCATTGATATTTTGCAAATTGACGATTGACTTTATGGTATTCAGATTTTTCTGAGATAGTCTGTAATTTTCGTCCCACTCATGTTCTGTTCACCACATTTTGGTCCATCGTCCGGGAATCGAACCCGAACCGCCCGCGTGACAGGCGAGTGGGGACAATCAAATGTAATTAGAACAAAAATTATAGACTATCTCAGTAAAATCTGAATACCATAAAGTCAAATGTCAATTTGCAAAATATCAGTGCATCATATCAAACTGGACTGTTTCCGTTGCAAACACTAATCCATTGTCTTCCATTCCATTGTACATGCGTTTTCTTACAAATTCCATTGTGCTCTAGCTCTTCCTTTCTTGATCTTCACCTCATCTTCTGCTGCCAGATATTACGTTTTAACTCGCGATATATACTACTTATATCAATATAAGTAGCACACATCACAATATCATTGTACAACGGTGCACCTGTTTTATTACTTCATGTCTTTTAAAAATATCATTCTGAACTTCCAGTTATGTACTTTTCTTCTATTTTCAATTATTTGTTTTCCATGGTTTCATCATACTAGAATCAATTCTAAATTACGATTGATCTGTATCTATGGCATTTTTTTTTTCAAAAATCTATTTTTCTCTTATTATTATTTTTTCAATCATTAATGATGACAGATTTTTATGCATGTATTTATTGTCGTTTTTATTTCCATAAGAAAACATGACACTTACTAATTGAATTTTCCAGACCACATGATGATAATCAGGTTCTTTATTTGTAAATTTTAGCATAAGATATATTATTACTTCTTTTACCAAACATAGGTGATTAATTTAATCATGAATTGATTACTATTTAAATTAAGTCCTATAGCGTGGCTACAAATGGAATCTAGGACATACAGTGCATCTTTTGTTTTTACGGATGACTTAATTAATCAATGTATTGGAAATAATAATAATAAATGTATAGTAGTGTCCTGTTGAAATGAAAGAATGAATTAATAAACAGTCTGTCTCTTTATTATATAACACTCATTAGTTTGTTTTTATGTTTACAATTGTTAGTGATAGGCTTGATAAATAAAATCTTGTAGTTTCCTAAGTTCATCTATTTACTTTTCACTAAACTTTCATCATGAATTGAAATTGGTTAGACGAAAAAAGAATAAAAATTCATTTCAGACTAGCTTTTGCCAACTTGCGTCATTTATGGCGTGGGCGAGATATCCGTCTATCAAACAAAGGATGGGTTTACTGAGCAGCAGTTCGTTCCGTCCTACTTTATGGCTGTGAAACATGACCAGTAAGAGTAGAGGATATTCGTAGGTTACTAGTATTCGATCATAGGTGTCTTCGAAACATTGCTCGTATATTCTGGGACCATCGAGTAAGTAACGCAGTTCTTAAAAAACGGATACTAGGTTAGGATGGCAGATCAATTGATGACGTAGTGAAACTTCATCAGTTGAGATGGCTGGGACATGTGTTACGTATGCCCAACCACCGACTGCCTCGTTGTGCGATGTTTTGTTGTATAGGAGTAGATTGGAAGAAAACTGGGGGCGGCCAGACCAAAACATGGCACAAATCCATGAAGTCACTGACAAGTTAACTGAGCCATGTTGCTAGGTGTAAACCACCTGGTTGGGATCCGCGAGACGATAGCAACCGATAGTTAGAGACCTTGAATGACATGGGTCAAAGGCATTTACAATGGTGCAGGTGCATCTACCATTTGTGTTCTTCCAAATTTTAGTTTTCTTTATTTTTTATGTCCCTTTTCTTTTTCTCTTTCCAAACTTATTTCACTGGATTATACTCCTTGAATAACATCTTCAAACCCCAATCTTTCCGATTACTGCTCATACTTTTACTACCTCTATCACTAAGGAATTTGAATCGACAACTGCATCTGACTGACATTGATATTTGTCAAAATTCAAGAGAATAATTTAAAAGAATTTGGACGCCGATTATAAAGAAATTAATTACAATGTAATATATATTTGAAATAACCTCAGTTACTATATTACTGAAGAATCTTAGACTCAGTTTGCCGAGTGAAATACTGAAATTATCTAAACTTCAATCACTGAAACTGTATCAAATAGAATTTTTGCATTAAACACTGAATTACTGTTGGCATTCTTGAATGTATGTGATTGAATTCAGATGTCTATCAATGCTCTTTGTAGCCAGATATTCATCTAAAATGTACACCTATCCACATTTAATTTGATTTATTTCACTAGTGAAAGTTTGTTATTTAAAGTTCAGATGGCTAGTGCGAATGTTGTATTATGTAATTAATGCTACTACGAAGTCCCACTTCATGATATCACATCAGTTGATTGAGCGTTCTGCAATGATTGTATATTAACCCTTAAGGATTGACCGTCCATACGTACATAGCTTATCAGAATCCATAGTTTGGTGCAGCTCATCTAATTAAGGTCAACCGATTTTATCTCGAATCCGTAGTGGTATGATATCCAAAGTAATATTGTTATCTTTTATTTTAAATTCATTCATATTGGTCGGCAAACTGTTGATTATTACTAGGAAATCTTAAAATGGTTGATTTTGTCATATATGTTTATCATATTATTCAAGGGGCTTTTGTTTAACCAGTAGCTTCTTAACTTCGACTTTTAATATGTTTACTTGGGATTTCGATTTAACTTACACTTGTTACCCCTCGTGGAGGAGAATAGACCGCCAACCGGCATTCTCCATCTCCCTCTGTCCTGAACAATCCTTTCCAGTTGTTCCCACTTACTATCCATCTTTTTGATGTCTGCTTCCCATTCTCGACACAATGTGTTCTTTGGTTTTCTTCTTCCTCGTTTCCCTCATGATTCCAAGTTAGTGTTTGTTTCGTGATGCAGTCGGATGGTTTCTGTAATGTATGTCCTATCAACTTCCAGCTTTTTTACTAATTTCTTCTTCAGCTGGAAGATAGTTTGTTCTCACCCACAGAAGTAAAGAGTGTTCATAAACTAGAACGGTTTGGATATGTTGCGCATATCCCGCTGTTTCGTAACTCAGTGTATTATACCGCATAGGTTGGGGACTATGCGTAACAAAAACAAGACTGTCGGCTTAATCTTCTCATATAATTGTAGGGATTTCGTTCAATGTCAGAAATACAACTGCAATCAATGATAAAGTACTTTTTATATTATTGGGTCGAAATCATTTGCAGCTATGTGGATACATCTACTATATATTTTTTATGTTCTACAATGATATTTGTTTAACATCCTACACTTCTTCTAGTTGTTCTACAGTTTTTTACAACCACCCAACGTAAATAAGCTAATTTCACCAAGAATACTAGGCTGTACAAATTTTGACCACATTTCTATATACATGAACCGATTGATATTCAATAACTATTACGAAAAGTTTTCTCTTCCTATTACGTGTACATATCTGTTTCATAATATCCTTTTTTATTTAACCTTATTCAGCGTCTATTCAAACATTACCAGATCAAATAAATATTGAAAAGCTTACTAAAATTTATGAAGAACTACAATCAATTTACACACCTTTAGCTAATCAACACGCTGCACTTCGTGAAGATATTGCTCGTGTAGCAGCTGATATTTTCTATCAACCACAATCAGATAAAGAGGCTGAAATTTTAACGATTGTTGGATTAAAACATTTATGCAAAAATGGTAATTCAATTTCAACTCCTGGTGTAGTTAGACGAGCTAATGATGGAACAAATTGTGTTATGCCTATATCTACACCTAGTGAAAACTCAGAAGTCACTACAAATGGTTTAGACAATAATCATGATACATATGAACCTGTTGTAAATAAAGAGATACTTAGAGTAAGTAAATATTGAGTATTTGGTTAGAGTTTTTAAAGAATTTATTTTCAAGTTATATATTCACTCTATTGAGTGAAAGATTCTGATGCTGGACGTAGAGTAGTTGTTGTGCCTTTATGTCCGGCTTTTTATCACATGATTTATCCACCAATCAAAATACAACTTATACAATCTTAGCACTGCCAAAACAATGACGTTCGACCGGTATGAGCAGCCTAGCATCCTAATTGGTCCTATGTCCACCTAGCCCGTCCACTTGAGTCCAGAACACCAATACCAGCTTCCACTATGCGAATCGAATCGAACCATTTATTTCAGACATTCTGGGTTTATATATCAACCAAACAGACCGCAACGCACTATAAAATAGGAAATAACATTTGTACACAATAAAGCCAAAAAGTGGCTGTGAACGTTGGAGGCAGTAGTTAATAAACTGAGCATAATTTAGGGACAGTAAATCGTATAATAACAAATTATAGATCAAAATGAAGCTTATAATAAGAGGAATATAAATATACATAATCTAATTATTGAATAATTACACCATAAGAATATTTAGATAATATTAGTCAATTATTATGTTTCGGAAGTTACTCGTGATTTATTCTTCGCTCGGATATAACAGTACTGTTAAGTAAAAATAGAGCAGTGGCCTTGATGTTAAACTGTTCACATTTTGACTATCAATTCTCAAGTTCATACTCTGTAACCGAGTACTGTTATTAACTTTCAAACTTAGAATGTGGCTCATACCTAATTGCCTGATGAATGATTTAATCCACAAATTGTAATCAATTCATGATATATTGGTTAGTAAGATTTTGGAACTTCAACTGATTAAACTAATTAAATCATGTTATTCTTCATATATCTGGCTAATATCTACATCGCAATCTACTCTTTTGTCCAGTATAGAAGTAAGTTTGTCAATACTATTACAATCCTACTGAGATATCTTACTAGTTCATAAGGTCAATAACTTGAGATACTGATTATTTATAATTTATGAAAAACAAAAGAATTGGTTATTTCTCTCATGATTATAAATTTATTCTTTTCATGTAAAACTTCATTTAATTCAGCCTATTCATGTATATGGCATGTTATTTTCATTGTTTATAAATATCATCTATGATAATCATTTTATTTTCAAATCATTAACCTAAAAAAGTTTACAAGATACTTTTCACATGGATTTTAATATTGTTCAAATAAAACGGTTTTTTTCTCTCTACCTCTCTCTAAATAATTGTGTACTATTCGAGTTATTTATAATAATACACATGGTAATATGTAGTGTAAAAATCTGTCTTAATATCATCCATACATTTCTAGTAATAATGAATAATATATAACTATCAGTATGGGTTCGAATGGCGGTGAGTGGGATCGTGAATGCGCATTGCTGAGGAGTCAGTTCCACAATAGGGCGAAACGGACGTCCAGTGCTTCCAGGTTTTCAATGGTGGTCTAACATCAATCGGTTCATGATCTCAGTAAAAAAAAGATTTATATAATTGCCTGAATTAGTTAGACTACAAGTGTTTTTCTTGCTGTAATCCATCTGACTGAAATCTGATAAACAGTTAGTTAGTGAATGAACGAGTAATACACACAAATAACAAATAAGAAAGAAACAGTTGTTGAATAGAAAGGATATATCAAGAATAGTATCAAAAATCATGGTTTAACACCAACTGGTCCAAATCTTCACAAATTGACTAGTCTAGCATATTAGTTAGGACTATCAATATTGAAGTATTTCTTGAGTACTGTTAGAGGTATGATGATTATAACTTTCTGGTTCATCACCATGCAAAGATGCTTCTTCTTGAGGGACATGAAAAGGAAACTGGGTTTGGAATAGTCTTGTTAACCTGCGAGATTGACTGCTGGGCCCAAACGATAACGGATTGCGACTCATGGCAAACGGTATTTGTGATGTGCAAGCTCCATACTTTTCAGGTATTACTGTCAACAACGGAAGTATATGAGTCAAGGTGAGGTTTACTACTCTTACAATCGACATGTTCTAATGCTCTTCCTTACTCTCCGAGAATGCAGCATCTCTCTAGATGCAAGTTATTTGAGAGAAACATCTTACTATCGTCACACCTCTGTACAGTTAGGAGTAAAATCTTACTCCCAGACTTTTAGTTTGCTGCTTTTAGCCCTAGTGCTCTTCAACCAACCTTTAAATAATGGTAGGATCTGAATGGGCGAATGTTTCATCCAGCATAGTTCAGTCAAGTCATCACTATATGTAAGAAGCAGTTGGGTGAAATCTGTTTATATTTTGACTGAAATTAATCAACAATTTGTCTCTGAAATATACCATTCTACTTAAAAATAAACTATAAATGTTTTATTACCACGTAAAAATGTTAACATAATTGTATCAACTCAAATTATTTGACGTAATGTTTGTGTGTTAGTGTTGTTAATCGATTTTCACATGGTCTTATTTTCCAGTTAATTAGTGAAACAAGTATTTTCTTTTTTCTTGATATCTATTTTTTTCATTACTGTCATCATTATCTTAACTAGATTACAGGTCCAGTTGCTTTTGTCATTCAGTTGAATAATGACAGTAATAATAGTCGTAGTAGTGAAAGAGTAAAGAAAAAAACGTATGAAATGATTTCAATACTCAAGACCTAAGACGATCCAAATAGTGAATACATTTATGCTATAACGATCGATTCTGAATTACAGTATTTAATATTTCCAACCACTGGTTAAAATAATCACACCGACTCCCAACCAGACAGCCTGCACCTACCTACTTACATGAATCATTTCAGCATTCAATGCGCTCATGAACTGATGTTAAATTTTGGTTTGACAGACCCTAATTTATATTTTGGTCTACTGCTATACCAGACAATAACATTATTTTTTTATGATGTAATGGCTTAGTTTCATATTCTAACTTATTCCCTTTATGATATGATTATTTCGATTCGTTTCAATCAATTCGTATTCTTTTAACATTTAATTCATAATATCTAGAGTTCGCTTTCTAAATGTAACAGAACAACAATGGTACAATAAATTGTTTCGTCATGTATTTTAAGGATGAATAAAAAATTCTGTCAGCCTAAAATTAACAACAGTACATATCTTTTTTTGGGGGGTGTCCCCATGTATTTGTTCAGATAAGTAATGGAGATTTTTTATTGTAGTAAACAAGAACACCAGTGGAGACAATCGAATGTATTTAACACAAAATTACAGGACTTGTTAATAAAATCTAACAATCATAAAGTAAATGCTTAATTTGCAAAATGTTTCAATCAATTGTTTTTGATTGAGATCTTGAACCAATTGATGTTAGACCATCACAATTGAAAACCTGGAAGCACTGGACGGCCGTTTCGTCCTATTGTGGGACTCCTCAGCAGTGCGCATCCACGATCCCGCTCAGTGGTCCAGTTGGTTAAGCGTTCGCGCGCGAGACCGAAGGCCCTGGGTTCGAATCCCGCTCGCTGGATCGTGGATGCGCACTGCTGAGGAGTCCCACAATAGGACGAAACGGCCGTCCAGTGCTTCCAGGTTTTCAATTGTGATGGTCTAACATCAATTGGTTCAAGATCTCAATCAAAAACTTAATAATCTCCACAACCCCTATACTAGTATCAATCAATTGTCTCAAAATGACTCAGACTTTATTGTTCTTGCATTTTCATACAAATTGCATCCTGCTTCCATTCTTTATTGTTCGATCCTCTAGTCTCTCTGCTGCCAGACCTTCTGTTCACGACTAACATTGTATACTACTTATGTCAATATAAGTTGCACACACCACAACTGACACTACTTTAGTTTGTTCAATGCACATCAGCCTACGCATATTTGTCTCTACAATACATTTACTTGTTATATAAATGTAATAATCAGCAAGCTTTTACAATGTAGGCGTTACAAATAGTAAGTTTAAGCTGCGACATTATAGATCCTTCTCTCTATGGTGGTAATTCAATAGCATACATTGTCAATTTCTATGCAATTTAAATGTTTCTGAATAGATTTGTAACTACTTATAAGTAAGGTAAATTAACCACAATAAAATACCTCATCCACTTTTATTACAAATGAAATTTGTATGATGTGAAAATTGAATTTGTTTTTACTACAGTTATTCTTAGATTGAGACAAGTGTTTATATGGGCATATACTATTTTTCATCATAAAGCTTAGTATTATCTGGATTTGGATTTTAGTTGAGAAAAAAATATAAGAAACCATCATTATTCATTCAGTTTTATTTCATATACAGAATAATTACAGCATTCAGACAAAATTAGAAGATCATATTCATCACAAATTGATCTCAGTTTTGTACCACCAGAAATTATGAATTGTTGGATAGTTGTTTTGTTCTACTCCATGAAGGACAGAATCCAAAACCTTCAAGTGTATTGAACTATTAACTGTCAGGACCACTAGATCGGCGTCTAAAAATACAGTTCTATCGATCTGTAATATAACACGAGTATCATACAGACTTAATGACAAAACTAATCAAACTGTTAGACTGTACTTTAGTTTATTAATGTACTAACATTTTTGTTTAAAAATCCATAGAACTTAATGACTAAAGTATGTTTAATGTAATAATAAGGGTTTGCCGTTACTGTAATTTTTACACCGGATAAATGACCTTAATGACTAACAACACAAATGACGGTCTTTAATTTTCAACGATCGATTGTTACCTTTGTTGCGATTGCACATTGTCCCAGTGATTACCATCTTTGGTTAATGTCCAAACTGACGTTGATTCACATGTATGTATGTGATTTTTCACAAGGCTTTTACGACGAGAATTTGGTTAAAAATTGTTGACTCAATAAGTAGTGTGATTATTGACATATCTTAACGGTGTTTATTTATTCTCGGTTAAACTGTTTATGCTCGTTTAACGCGAACATTCTTAAAAACAGATCTTACAGCATGCGTGCTGCCAAGATTTCATTGATACAGGGTGATGTAATTCGGCGAGTAATGTGAAAACATAACTTTTGTAACTAACATATGGAGGGTTACCATTTATACTTTTATTGCATAATCAGTGAACTCTTGTATTGTTAATTTTTGGAACCTCCCATTTGTAAGATTTCGTTTGATCCCTAAACCGTTTTCACATATCTCCAGATTCACCATTAATTAAGTATTTTCTTAATGCTACAGTTTTTTATCATTTATGACTGAGTTATGTACGCGTTTTAATTCTTTATTTGTATCTCTGCGTGGTCACACATTTCAGGTATATAAGTTTTAAGTCGTGATTAAATAGAGCTCAATGGAGAACTGAGCTTCTTGCTTTCTTCGTCTTCCGATTGGGCGCTGGTATGGAATGTGCTAGAGGACCAATAGGCGTAAATGATATTTGTCGTAATTATTTTTAGAACTTAATAATACCATCGATTCCATCCTATTGTCGTTGTTTTTAATATTGACAATACATCTCACATTATTTTTTAAAAGCTTTTCTCTCTGTATTCTTTTTATTTTCATCTCTCTTCTTCTACATCTCTTTGTCAGTGGTTAACTGATTGGCGATTAAGATTAGTCAAAGAGAAAGCTCGTTTAGTTGGTACTTGTGAAGAATTAAGAGCTTACCTGTTACAAATGTGGAAACGATTAGATAAACCGGAATCAGAACAAAAAGAATTCCTGGAAATGCATTCTGGTTATAAACCTGAAACACTGGAAGCACTTCAGGTAGTCTCATTATGTTTTTATTTTATTTCATGAGGTTTTCTGTTTTCTCACGCAAATTATTTATTGTTAAGTATGCTCTTTACTTAAAAAAGAGGGGCAAAGTAATGATCAACATACTCTGGCACAGTTGCATTCTATAGTATATTCAGATGATCATCGAAGTTATTCATCAATAAAGAAGGATATATTTCAAATAAGATTTTGTAATTATTGCGCTATAAGAATAAAATTTATTTTAAAAAAGATAACCTATTTGAGATTGCTGTGTTTTAATTTATCCTCCATAGAAAGTGATCCTATATAGTCTATTTAGATATGGAATAGTATTGTGTGAAGTTTACTGAATTTTTAATATGGACTGAACTCATATGGACAGTGATAGAAAACTGGAAGTAGTAGTAAATATCTGTTTTATTTTAGCCTGGGATTTTTAAACAGTTTATGATTCACCACTACACATAAGAGATTAAACTAAGATCTTTCAGATTTCATACTGAACCCTATACTATTGTGGTGCATGCTACTTATGTCGACGGACATAAGTAGTATGTAACACAAATCAGAAGTGGAACGCCTGGCAGCAGAGGGTTGAGAAGATGAAATTGACGAGAATAGAAGTGTAAACGAAGAGTAATTGTAACAAAAGCAAGAATGAAGGAACGATGAAGTTACAATTGATGGGAGATATGCAAGTGATGTATTCAATGTATGGTGTCCGTATTTTACGAAGACATTGTAAACTTGCATTAATAAAGTAATTGGTTTTCCTCATCTGAGTGTTCATTCAATACACTATGAGATAATAGATGATCCAATAGTTCAGCTTCCAATTAAGATTAATCTTCATATATTGTATGATGGTTATGAAAAAGTTATCTCAGTGACATGTTTCTCCAATGATGTTCTCCGATGATAGGAACAAACTTTCGAAGAAGTTCATTCTTCCGAGTGTCAACATGATAATTTAAAACACTTGTTGGCTTTATCTATTATTCTACCATTCATCGGAATCGTACAGTGTAAAATGTTAATTTTACTAAATTCATATAATTATGTAACACTTGTTTATATCAACCGTATTCTGTTCTGTCAATAGTCGAATACGTAATACATTCAATGTGCTATTCAGAGAACTTCAAAGTTCATATAATCAATGGGATAGGAGAAAATGTTTTTAGAAAACTAGTTATCACTTTCAGTTTATCAATTTTCTTTCTTAACATGTTTATACTTTGTTACTATGTTTACAGAGTTATTGGACTCCAAATTTGACCTCTATTTGTAATACAGAGCTATCTTGTTAGTCTAGTCTTCTTTACCTCTTATTGGTGTGTAAATTATTAACAATAAAGTGTTGTTGTTTGTCGATAACTGAACTATCATCGAGTTTGCATTATTTCATGTTCGTATTAAGAAAATCTGGATCATTCGTATCAAGAAATTTCTATTGATCCATTCACAGTCAATCTTACAGTATCATAATGACACCCTTCCCTGAATTTTGGATGGTTTTTTTTCTTTCCTTCAGTAAAATTTATGAATATAATGTCTTTTATTTAAAAAGAAACACTATCCAACTCTTCTTTATTTCATGTTTTTTTATTTCAAGGAAGAAGTTGATCGATGCCAACAAATGAAATGGGAAAATATGCAAACATATTTAACTCGTCTTGAAAGTGAAGCTCTACGATTGGCTAGTTTATGTTGTGTAGATGAGAAAATTATTCAACTACCAAATGACAGTGATAAACAAGATCCAGAAATATTAATTAATCACTTAGAGACTATATTAGAACAATTAAACCAGACCTATTATTTATATCGTCCTGTCTATGAATGTATTGCAGTATATGAATCGTCTTGGAAACAATTAATTGATGTTGAAGCTCGTTTAAAAGATCCATCAATATTTTCTAATCGTGGTGGTATTTTATTAAAAACAGAAAAAGAGAAAAAACGTCTATTGAAAGAAGTGGAACGTACTGAAAAAGAGGCAATATCAGCTATTGAACAATATGAATTGAAAAGTTCATCACATTTTCTCTTATCTAATGGTAAAACATTTACTGAACATATTAATGAAAGATGGAATAATTATAAAACACTTAAAGATACATCAAAATCACGTCGTTCAATTGTTCCAACCACTAGTAATAATAGTAATTCAACTATCAGTAATAATAATACCGGTAATACAACACGTCCAACTTCAGCTAATCTAACAGGATCACCTGTAGCTCACACTTAGTACTTATTTCATTGAATGGAAAACACTAATTTTTCAGTTTTTCCCATTTCGTTGTACATACACACGCATATATATATAAAGTAAACGCTTACAGACAAGCCTTTACTTCTCATATACATTTAATTTTGTAGGCTGTGAATCCAACTTTGAAAACACCAATAAACAGGGGTTTACAAGATTGACAGATAATGACAGGAACATTGAATATGGTTTCATATGTAAATTCCTATTTTTCTTTCTTTTTCTTTATGTTTTATTATATTTCTTTACATAGTTTTTAATTACTTTGCTTAATTTTGTTGTTTTTATGTGTAAAAAGTGGTCATTTGAATCAATAATGGCTACCTACTATCTATATACATATATATAACATCAATCAGCTGATCTAATAACTACTTTTCAATAAAACATGATTGTATTTATCGACACTTATTACCTAGTTGAGTTTATTCTGAAATGAGAAATCATATTTATCTCATATAATCCTTTCTATTGTGAGAAAATAATTTCGGTTGGGGTTATTATCTTGGTTGCTGTCCTCAGTATACATTCAAAAAAAACAGCCATAGAATGTGTGTCATTCACTTAATTTGATGCTTTCAATTTCTGTGAACAAGTTTAATTCTATTGTGCAATAAATAAATTTGGATTTTTGTTTGTTTCAAATGTAACCTACTACTTTTTCTGTGTGTTGTTATCAATGAAGTATGTTTTTTGTTTGTTTCACTTTCTTTATATTTTTCTTTTATCTTATATGTGTGCATGTGCATGCATGCGTGTGTGTGTGTAGATGTTTATCCTTGGTTCAATTTGATAATTAATTAATAGTTCAAAAACCATTTCAAACATTCACTCATTTGGTTTTCATCCTTCATTTCGAATAAATTGGCTTGTTGTATACTAACTGACTTGTCGTTCATGAACAGAATATATTAGAATAATAATAATAAACACTGTTTTGGTTGTAGTAACTGGGGTGCTTTTCTATTTCTATGACTTTGAGTAGAAATTAATTTTAGTAGATAAATGTGTAAATTAATTCAATTTTAATCCATCAGTTATTTGAGTCGGCTTCCGGAGAACTTCAACGGAGCCTCCAGTGGCCCAAAAGGAGCCGGAAAGTCCTAGCCAATCAGAGTATGATGGAACATCCTAGAATTCCAACGTGGCGTGCTACTATTGGTCGGTAGCATAATATGTCGTTAACGGATTGGCTAAAATACGATGTTGATTCAACAGACGCCAACATCTATAAATACCCATGATTTTCTGCACAAAAATGAACCTTAGGATAAAGTATTTTCTCTCATACTTGTGTCTTCTCTCTGGTGTTCAAGTCGCTGTGTAGTTCTAGACTGCGGGTTACCAGAATAGCTTAGGAAAACGAATATAGCGTTCGATCGACAAGACTTATCAGTCACTTTTCTATGAACAGTAGTATTAATGGAATGGTGAACTGATGAATACACTACAATTGTAGCAGTTAGAACAGAATGAAATCCATTTTAGTAATGTATAATACATTCGATTGTTAAATTACTTTTGAATTATTCAGATAATTTGTAGAGTTTTCGTTTATGATGAATGGATATTGGCTTGACTGTCATTCTCAGCAACGCGCACTAAAAGCTATTTGTAGGATTAAAGTCAGAATATTTATGTCCCTCGACAAATACAATAATTTTAATCTGCTAAGTTTAACTTCTATGGTCCATGTTTTATTGTTCACCTGATTTGTAATATTACTCCACCACAATGAGCTAATGGCTACCATAATGGAAAGTATAAACGTTCAGACTTTGTAAGTTGAGATTTAGTCAGGCACACTAAACTGTGGTTTGCTGGTGAAGCTTCCATTTATTTGACTAGTTCATTGTCATCCCGTCGAGAAAAGTATGAACACACTTATGGATTCATTATCACAACATTTTCATAGCTATTTCATATTTTATGGCAATGAAATTGGTCACCGGTATTTTGTACCTGACCAAGTGGTTGGGCATACCATGCTAGTGTATTTGTGACCTTGCAAATTACAGCAGATACTTCGTGTGACCAGAGCTCAAGTTTATGAAGTGAAGATCATGGTTGACAAAATATCTTTCAGATGCTGTATAACTTAACACATGGACAGCCTTCATTTTGCCTACAGGCATCCTTTTCGAATACATCCCATGATACTATCGAATCAGAGGTGTGAGCATTACTATTTATAGGAAAACCAAGTAAAGTCAGTCTACAATATTTTATGTTTTTAAAAATAATAATATGATTAGTGGAAACTTTCACGTATCTGGGCAACATCGATGAACATGGAGGATCTGATGAAGACGTAAAGACGAGGATTGGCAAAGCAAGGGCAGTATACCTGCGGTTGAATAACATATGGGACTCAGAACAACTGTCAACTAACATCAAAGTTAGAATTGTCATTACAAACATCAAGACAGGCGTACTGTACGGAGCTGAAACTTGGAGAATTACCGCAATCATTATCAAAAAAGGACAAGTATCTATGAACAGTTATCTACACAAGATACTCAATGTCCGTTTGTCGGATACCATCAGTAACAGCCTACTATGGGTGAGAACAAACTAACTTCCAACTAAAGAGGAAATTAGAAAAAGACGCTTCGGGTGAAATAGATTTGAGTTTATGTTCGTGGAAGCTAAATTTTCTTAAGCTACATAAATTCTCAACATCCCTATATATTTGAAATCCTTTTTCATCTCTTAGGATTTCAGGAAACCAGTATTGTCAATAGTTACCGATAAGTGGCAAATGTGATTCGTAGTTTAGTACATTAACCTTGTACCTATTAAATGAGTTATCAGAATTTCGAATTGGACTACTAACCCATATAGTGTTGCGATTAGTGTTCGAAAAAATAACAGTAGTTTTGAATGAATATTAATGAGTAGATTCGAACAACCAATATAAATGAATTATGATCCGCAACACTGTACAAATCAGTGGTTCACTCAACTGAGTAGCTAAGAGGATAGAGGATTGAAAATTTGGAGCGAAAGGTACGGAATTCGGCTCACGTAGTGAAAACTAACCCTCGGATATACGTACATCTAACTGACGAGCACTAAACAGGACGAAAAACTCGTCCTGAATTTCACTATTAGCTTCCACACAATTCTGCTATAAATTTAAATGAAATTTCGATTCAAAGTTATTTCGAAAAAAATGAGGAACAGTTGGTAGTTATAGGGATTTTTATTGTTTCGTTATTGTAAATAAATATTTCAAACTGACTGAATTGATCTCCTAGTAAATAAGTTGGTGTCAACTTTTGACGATGGTCATATATCTTGTGAAAAAGGTAAAATATGATTCTAATCGTTAGGTCTACATTATTAAATAAGTTGACATGATAGAGGGTGTTTGTAACTCAGGTAAAAGATGTTAGTTAGTTGTGTTTAAATTCGAATAGTTCACAGTTCATTCGAACGCATGCTGGCGGTTTTGTTCAGAAAACCAACGAAAGCCACATAAATAAACCATACAATTAAGAGAATATAATGCCAACTACATAATAAGTACTTGTAACTCTGTTCATAGAATTGAATATCCTTCCTTCTCTTTTTCCCATAATAATATTCAGCTACTTTAATTATTAGTTAGTAGGTACATAACTACAACGTTGTTTTTTTAAATGTCTGTCATTATTTGTTGTTAAACAATAATTCGAGTGATTTTAAGTAGTTTTCTCGTTATGAATCGTGATTAATTTAACCACAACTATCCCTCAATTTACATTTAACTCTATGAGAGTAACCTTCTCTAATTTGCTGCGCAATTAAAATACATTACTACTTCAATAAGTTTCTTTATTACACGGAATCATGCAATAGCTTACCTATGAAATTTACTATCTATAAAACAAAAAGGTTAAGCTATCAAATTTACCCTACACTTCGGTCACTACAACTAGTGTGAATTTAAAATTCTGGATGAAAATTGATTAGTTCAGAGTTATTTAATTATTTATTTATCCCCATCGAATAGGTTAGAGACTATTAGGACTTAGTAGCTAAGCGGACGTTTAAAGCGAATGGTATTACGTCCGAATCTCAGCGTAAACATCAAAACTAAGATGTAGGTACACACAGTTGACTAATCCCTAAGAAGACGAAGCGCGTGTCCTGTTTTTGATTGCTAGCAACTATCCATCATCGATCTCTTGTTGTAGTTCTCAGAATCATTGAGGTTTACCCAACAACTTAACTATCTAATTAGAGCTCCTTGATATTGGACCAAAGTATAATAATCAGTATTTTGTTTGAATTGTATAGACAGGAAAAATTTCAAGAGCTAATTACTTCATTGCAAATTTTAGATATCACCAATGCATCTGTTATTTCCTCTTCTACCACAAAATCTGTCTTGCTGTTGGTAAGTGATGGTTCAAAACAAACAGTTTTTTTTATTAAATCTAGGACTACTGTGTTCATTTGACACAACTAAAACACCTCATCTATAAGTGCTATCAAAAGTCTGCTCGAAGACGCTTCTTATTTTACATAATATCTGTGATCAATCAATTGTAAATGTCTCAATCTTTGAGGAGATCATGCACATACTGGATAGCTCAACGATAACGTATATATATATATATATCTATATATCTATATCTATATCTATATATATATATATATATATATATATATATATATATATATATATAATTGCTTCAAACACTCAGATCTCTCTATTTACTAGTCAGCACACACAATAGCTTCACTTATATGCATTAATAATCAAAATTAAAAAGAATATTAGTAGAATGTGGTAAGCAACTGTTTTAATATGCAATCTAAAAATTCTTAGATTATCCATTTGATTACTGTACTAAAATAAAAATAAACGGTAAACGAAAATCCACTGATAAATTGTCGTGTACTGGATGTATGACTAAACTAACGAAAAAAATAACTACCTACATAGTTAATGGATCATGAAAATCAATAACAACCAAGAGTTAAAAGTTTAAATTAATGGTCACCTATACTTTATTAGACACATCAAAGTGGATTGGTTGAAGTAAGTCATTAACACCATTGAATGCTCGCTCAGTGGTCTAGTGGTTAGGTGCTCACACATAAGACCGGTAAATCCTAAGTTCGAATCTCACGGAGCGGAATCGTGGATGAGCACTGCTGAGGAGTCCCATACTAAGATGAAACGGCTGTCCAGCGCTTCCAACCTTTCCATGGTGGTCTAGCTTCAATTGACTCTTGAATTCAACCATTAAATTACATCAACGTATGTTAAATTCATTTGTCTCAATTAAATATCAGCTAGAGAACTTCTAAATATTAAGCGTTGCTTTTCATTTAATTCTTTTTTTGGCATTTTATCCATGTTGCACTTATTTTACTCATTTCAAGTTAAAATTATTAATTAATTAAACGAATATAATTTCACTGCTTTTTGTGATCTAACTAAAGATAAATAACGCAAATTTCCAACATAACCATTTGGTAACCAACTAGAATTAGTGAAAGGATACATTTTTAATAATTAAACTGGATAATACTTATGTCTAAAGTCAAATCATATGTAAAATGGAACTTAGATCTAAATAATTAGTTTCTATATGTTCACAGAAAAACCCAGAAATTGAGATCAATTTTGTAGGAAATTAAGACTATTAACTCAAGTATAAATCAGATATTTATTTAATATTCTTCAATTTACATGGTGTCTATCGAGGTAAAATTCACCACTATTTAAAGTTTGTGCTGATGATGACGTTCAGAAGAACGATGAAAGCTCTACAACCAAACCATCCAGCTCAGAGAACAAAACTCCATCAAAATCACTTTAGGCAAAAATCAACTTCAACATAGTTCATTTTATAGATATCAGGCAACAACATTACTTATTTACTTCTGTACAAAAAATATGATATGAAATTTTGTGAACATCTAATATTAGTGATGGAAAATTTCAGAATATACTACATCATTTTCATAGGTTGAAATAGATGGAATTTGAGCATTATCAATATTATATTTTAATTCTTCTGTGGTAAGTTTCTAATAATGAGTGATTTATGAAATACATGTAACCA